GGAACAAAAGGGAGGGGGGGGGGAGGATGATGAGGAGGAGGAGGAAGGGTCGGCGGGGGCTTGCTGTCACCTGCAAACACTTGAGCTGCCTCCATTGGGGGCGAGCAATTTTGTGTCATTTGCACGTTTATGAGTGCAGGTGGGGGACAAAGAGCAGTAGGACAGGGAGGGTGGGGGTGGGGGGGGGCTCCGTATTTTGCAGCAAAAGATAAAGGAGCGACTGCAAGGATCAAAAGTAATCCAAGCTGGTGAGTCACAGGCCTTGTTTGAGCAACATTCCCGATAGTGATCAAAACCGCGGCCCGTCGAGGCAGCGTTGGCGTAATTTGCTTGGATGTGATTACGCCCTAATGAAGTCCTTGTCTGATGGGGGCATCACGGGAAAAGTGTCCAAAGTTTGCTGCTTCTACCGAAAAAGACGCCGTCGGCTTCCATTTGTCAGCCTGTGACTCATCCGCCTGACGAGGCGATGGCGTCACGCCCCCCCCCCGACTCTCCACCTCCCCCTTGCCCGTCGCCTCGTGACACGCCGTCCTCCGCGTGGCACCCTCCGCCGGGCCGTCGGCGGGGGTGCGATGCTCGGCGTTAATTCCGAGCTTTGTTGACTGAAGAGGCTCATTGACTGTGGCAGCTGCTTGACCTTGCAGAGAGGGCGGGCGGCCCGTTTAGCTCATTTTCACACCTTACCCTTCAGGGTGGGAGGGGCCTTTGTTCTGGCTTTAGGCTGCGAAAACACTGTACCAACTTTACAGGTGTTGCATTTAACCTGTTGGCGGTGCGCTTTCTATTTGCTGACGATTGTCAAAACAAATGGAGATGAAGGCTTTTCAATTCCCGACAATGCGATCGACAATGCTAAAATACAATGGAGGTTTCGCATCCATTTGTTGCATTTCATTTTAGCATATTAAAAGCGTGCTTTGAAAACCACAATCCAAATATGAATTATAATTTTATTGTTCATTGGGTGCATTTCCTTTCAGCGTATTAAAAAAAAAAAACGCTCTCTAAATGTAAAAACAAATCAACAAGAGTAAGTCTTGTTAAAAGTAAGTCTTCCCTTGTCGGTTAAGCAAATGCTAAAAATAATGCTGATATGAAGAGATTTTGCATCCATTCGACGCATGTCGTTCGAATGTATCAAAAAACACGCTTTCAAATCTGTTGTTGACTGTCGAAACACATCAAGGCGAAGGCATTTCCATTCTCGACTCGTAATGCTAATGCTAACAACAAAGCTAACACGAAAGGCAAATTTTTCCTCCATTTGATAAGTGTCATTTTAATGGACTGTACGCGTGCTTTCAAACTGATGGTGACTGTTGAAACAAATCAAGAAGACAAAGGCATTTTCTTTCCGCACTTGGAATGCTAACGCTAACACCAATGCTAACACAGGCACAAAACGACACCCCCGTGAGCCCACAAGTTTAGCCAACTGTTGCTGCTTCACTTCTGTAGATGTATCGACGGTAGATGTCGATAGCGCGCTTTCGAACTGCTGCAAAAGGGGTTTTGATTCCAATGCTAACGCGAACAACGCCGGTCAATTCAGACACAATTGCTCATGAGTCGAGTCATCTTAAATCCTGTAAGAGTCACGATGACGCTTTCAGACAATCAACTGACAGCTGTCAAAACAAATCAAGGGAGCAAAGGCGTATCAATGCCGGACGATGAACGGGAACGCGAACAACAAGGCTAACATTAAAATGAACAATCCTTCATTTATAATCCTGGTTGCATTCAATCGCGCCATGTTCATCGAAACACGGGTGTCTTGGTTATGGCTGAGGGCTGACTGTGTGACTCACTCACCCGCCGCATTGACTTGGCCGCCCTAAACGTCTTGAAAACAAGGAGTGCTTTTAATATCCCAGACATACTCCTTTTCGTCTGAATTTTTATGGTCGTCATTGGCTGCCTTTGTCGGATAAGTGGATGAACTTTCCAATCCTTGCCGGCAACGATGTAATCACATCCACTCGGTCGGTCACGTGACGCAGCTACGGTAGTCACTACAGAAGGCCCAAAAAAAAAATAAATAAATACTGTTGTCAACTATTGCATCTGCATTTTCTTCAAAGTGTGTGAGTCTTGCTTTGAAAGGTGTGCATCAGTCACTACAGTTGTCAACTACTGTATTCCAAAGCGGTTTTCTTTCTCTCTCTCCATCCACCTCATAAAGCAGCCTTGGATGTTTTTTTTTTTTTTTTTTTTTTAATATAAACGATCCAGTAACTCGGCGGGCTTTATCTGGAGTGCGCAGGATGCGCGGGTGATGAATGTGTGCGCGTGGCGTAACAAGATAACAGATAACCGGTATTAGAGACGAGCTAATGAGGGCTTTGAACCCGCCAGTGCATGCCGGGCCTCGCGGGACACCGTCCGTCCGTCCGTCCGTCCGCCATGGCTTGCGCCACGATTGCTAATATTGCCTTACGAGCTATTGCAGCCAAAACGGAATGTTTCATCAGGCGGCTCCCGGGGGGACGCTACGCAAGCGTCGTATCGCGGCCGCCTCGGTTCCAGCACGTCTAATCGGCCAGCGCGAATCAATTAAAGCACGAAATTTACTTCTGTGTCGCTTACCGTGTGGTGTTAGAAAAAAATAAATAAAATCAGTGATTCACACATTATTGTGAGAACCAAATGTATCAGTTTTCTATAGATGGGACATGGAAGACGATTCACTCATCAATAACCTATGTGGGTAAACATCAAAATCATTTGCCAGCGTCTTTTGTAAATGTCAAAGGCAATTTGAAGTCTTCGGCAAAAAGACAAGTTTGAAGGTAACTTCTGCGTTTTTGGACTCATCAAACATAATTTAGTCTTTGATGCTTTGCATGTACTGTTCAAAATATTGACCAAAAAAAAAAAGTCCAGTGTTTCATAAAAGCCACGGACTGTACATTCGATTAATCGAAGCCAGAGTTGTCTTGATGTTTATGAAAAGATGCAACCCATGAATGAACCGAGTCACTGAAAATGTGTTATTTTTGGCATTCATGAAAACACCAATCGTTCATTCGTCGAAGTTCAAATTGTCGTGATGTTTCCAAAAAGGCGTACGTTGCGGCTCGCTGATGAGCGCCTTTGAAGTTTATGAAACGTGACCGTCACAGCTGGAGCGTCTTCGGCGTGCGTGTGCGTGTCTGCTTCGCATTCCAGTCACAAGCCCCTGCGCGGTGCGCGCATCTCCAAGGCTACCGGTTTGAAAGCGCTTTTAATTTGCTGCCGCGCGCACGCGCGCCTCGCTGGATCTTTTCCAAACGCTCGACGACGCCCGAGACGACGAAAACACCTGGACGCTTAAATCACTCGCATGTAAAGAGTGTAACTGGGGATATGATTTAGCGTGCGCGCGCACGTGCGTGTCTGTGTGTGTGTGCGTGTGCGTGTGTACAGTGCGTGTAATTAAATGCGTAGCCCTTCTCCCCGCTATCTCCTCCTCCAGCCAGCGCCAGTGACGCACAAAGCGCAGCACCGCCATGAGTCATCAGGCCGCCAGCATCAGCGCCGCCCCTCCCTCCATCTTCCCTCATCCCTCGCACCCTCCCTCCTTCCATCATCATCCCTCCATCCATCCGCACATTCCCATGTAGCTTTGTTTTGACCGTCTTTAGCTCTCCAAAAGCTCAGCGAGCGGCAAAAGAGCGGCGAGCACGATTCGCCACCTGGCATCGCGATATGACTCATGCCGGCCCATCTTATCGACACTCACAGTAGGAGTGGAAAGAGGAGTCAGTGCAAAAAATAAATAAATAAAATTTAAAAAAAGTAACTTTTCGGCACGAGCGGGAAGGGGCACACTTTGGGGCGGATGACTCATAAATGTGCACCTCTACATTTACACACACACACACACACACACACACACACACACACACACACACACACACACACACACACACACACACACACACCGTGCAGAGAGGGTCACGCCCACTGTTCACATTGTGTTTTACACGTGCAGAGAGGGTCACGCCCACTTGTGCACTTGAAGATGGGTTTAAAAAAAAAAAATTTGGTGGAGTGGGTGATTACGCTAAAGGTTCCATGTTCGAACCCCCGCCATGTGCCTTTAGGTGTGCCGCTAGAGCGCGACTCATTGTGTGATGTTTTTGAAACTGGCTGCTCTTGTTACGCGGTTTAAAAACAAATAAAAATATTTGTCTAACTGGAAAAAAAAACACAAAAACAAAAATGGATAGCTTTGACTCCTAGAGCAACCTAAAATTTGATGCACAAGCATGGGGAGAACACGCAAACTCCACACAGGAAGGTCGCAGTTCAAATTCAAAACTATACCACCTGTGAACCGTGAGTCAAATGTGCTAACTCCCAACAATTTAATGGCCAAAATATATTTTTAAAATGCTTCAGATACATGTCAAACGTTCTGATTTATCGTTTACTAGCAGCTAGCTTGTGGACTAGCGGACTAGTTGAGTTAGCGAGCTAGCTTGAGGACCAGCAGCGGGCAAATTCGAAACTATACCACCTGTGAACTGTGAGGCAAATGTGCTAACTCCCATCAATTTAATGGCCAAAATGTATTTTTAAAATGCTTCAGATACATGTCAAACATTCTGATTTATCGTTTACTAGCAGCTAGCTTGTGGACTAGCGGACTAGTTGAGTTAGCGAGCTAGCTTGAGGACCGGCAGCGGGTTTTAGACATTTTATTTCTTCCAAGTTATTCCAATGTTGAATTTCTTTCACTGTATGTCAGTCAAAGATGCGAAATTTAAAGCTAATAAAACCGACAACCAACCTAATGCATATTTTTTTGTAAGCCTCAAAGACACCCATGTCACTGCTTTGTTGTCACTCGGAAAGGTCCCGGCAGGCACATAAAAACAAAATGAAACTACAGTACTTTCAAACCAGTAGCTTTGGGCAAGCGCGCACCACACTGGCTTGTGACTGGAATATGAAGCAGACGCGCGCACACACACACCGACGTTGAGAACAAGCCAGCTGTGATAGTCACAATGTTCTCACCCGGTGTGACGCGCGTCGGCATGGGGAAAAAGGTCATCGGTGTTTGCGCAGGACGTGGCGCGTTTGCGGTGTGTTTTACGACATGCGTGGATTTTATTGCGCACGGCGTCCTCTTCACAGTTTTGTCGTCAATTACGGTGACAAAAGGCTAGCGGCGAGAAAAAAAAAAAAGTGAGTCATCACCAGGAAAATCGAACGGAGTTGGAAATGATGCGGCAATCTGAATGTACGTAATTCTTAACGGCAAACCTCAAACACAATTTTGAGTCTTCCATCCAAAGATGATTTGAACGAATTCACATACCCCTTTTCAAAAATGTCAAAGACCATTTATAGTGTAACAAAGTGCACAGAAGTTTTCGTGAATGTCAAAAATAATTTTGATTGTGCTTTTGGAACTTTTTTTTTTTTTTGGGGGGGTAGAATTTAATGCATTTCCGTCTGTTTTTGTCAACATAAAAGACCATTCAGGTTGCTTTAGTGGTGTTTTGAAGCAAAATTGCAGTCTTTACACTCTTTGGTGAAATAGTAGGAGTAGTCATCAGGCAATTTTGAGTCATTGACAAATGTAATGGTTTGGTTTTGGGAATTGTCAGACACAATTTTGAGTCAGACAAACTTGACAATTCAGCCTTGTGGCCATGTTTTTGCACCCCCTGTAATCATGAAACACATTCATCAGTTTTTGGCGACCGTTTGCTAACGTTTGGATCATTAAAGGCGGCGACTAAAAATGAACAAAAACCGCAAATCAAGTGTATGCGCCTCGTTAAATCTCTAAAGTTCGAAATTCCAAGCCAATAGGCGGCATTGGTGTTTATTTTTCTCGGCTTTTGTTTGCCACGTTTAGCCTCCAATTATCCTCCAAGAGGTGGCGAGCTTCACTCTTCAACAAAAGGAGCAATCAGTCTCTTCTCTTCCTCCTCCCCATCGCGACCCTTTTCACTCCGCCGGATGGAAAGCGAGAAAAAAAAAATCCAGAGCTCCCCCCTCCAGCAAACGACGTCAGGAAAATGGCAGAGCGTTTTAGAGAGCCAGGCCACTGATTGGAGAGGTCACAGTGCCTAGTTCGCACAAAATCCAGAATTAAATTGAAACACAAAAAGTCAAGATGTTTGTTGTTTTAGGTTTGTTCCGTAATCTTTTTATAACAAGACGCGAAGAAATGGAGCAGATGAAAACCTGGCCCAAAAAAGTACAAGTAGTGCGAAAATTGACTTAATTACCTTTCACAAAAAAAAAAGGAAAAAAAACCCCACCAAAAACTGATTTTTTTTTTGAAAGATGAAAAACAACAAAAGAGACATTTCTGTCTTGACGTTTTAAATTTCTGGATTTAAAAGCATCAACTTTGCTTTTTAAAAACGTGTACGCACAAAAAAATGGCCGTTCTCCAAGACTCTAAGCAAGTAGTTTTGTTTTGGGGGTAAAACAAGAAACAAGAAAATAAAAACCCAATCATCAAAAGCATCTTTTTCAGGTTTTTCTATGAAAAGAAAATGACTTTTCTTTGTTTTTCGGACACAAAAAGAAACACATTTTGGAGGAAAAAAAATATGCAAAATATGGACATACTGTCCTTTTTTTTTCCCTCCCCCGATCAATCAATGCATAGATTTTTGGTGGGTGTTGGCCTGGCAATTTCACGGCTATTTCCTGTGCCATTCAAGTGCGCTATCGTAAACCATCAGGCGGACTCCCGAGGGGTTTAAATCCCAGCTGTGGCTAAACAAAACCCTCAGATCGCGGCAATAAAGCTAATGTCCGCACCCCCCGGCGGACCCTTGGAGTCCATTGAACAGCCGCTTAACGTGGACACACACACACACACACACACGCACGCACGCACACTCGGGGGGCTTGTTGTGGATTACGCTAACCAACCTAATGATCTCTTCAATGGGACAACTGGGACTCTTGTGAGACCACCGTCACCCGCGGGCCCCCCGGGACCACCAGGGCTCGAGGGTAATTACCATGGAAACGTGTGTGTGTGTGTCCGTGTGTGCGTGTGTATTTGTGTGTGCATGACTGAGATTAGGCTGATCTATTTTGGCTGTTTTTTTTTTTTTCCAACAGTGGCCATGAAAAGCGAATCTCTTCAATGGGACAACTGGGACTCTTGTGAGACCACCGTCACCCGCGGGCCCCCCGGGACCACCAGGGCTCGAGGGTAATTACCATGGAAA